GTGGCATAAAAGGGGAAGATTGCAGTACACACGACGTCAATAAGTGAAAATAAGCAAGGCCTTCCCACCATATCTACGTATTTTAAAAACCTTTCGTATGCAGAATGTCTTATATCTCTTTCTATATGGATACTATGTTATTCAAGCTCGTCTCGTGAAAATGTGTCTATTTCGGATAATAGAATTTATTACAGAATGATACACAATAGAATAAATTCTAGATTGTTGCTAATTTTTCATGCTATGCACATATGAATCTCTTCAGCACATCTGGAGCTCAAATGCAATTTTGAGCAGCGATTCCCTTGTATGTAGCCAAATCTCAATAAATATTTAAACCAGGATTTGTTTGAATGTTTAGCATCGACCTGTAGTGAGATTTCGTAAAATCTATGTTTTTCGAGTCCGTTTAGTGACATTTTCTTCATTCATATTGTATGTTTTGGACACACCAGAACCCACGACGGAAAGAATATCTCGATGAAGACTGCATAGAAATCCAAAACAACAAGAGGTAATATAGAGGAGAGTCAGGAGGATAGAATCACATTTCGATTTTCTTAAAAAAAGGATTGAATTTTATATAAATGTTTAAAAAGATGAAAACTTACCCTGCGATCGGCCTATTTTTCCAGTCACATCTGGTGTTATGCTTCACATCTGGTGCAGCGGAAATTCACATATCATTTTTACCGATGCTCATTTTTGAGATTCATATGGGGTTCCACCCCCGTGTTATATACTGCCTTCCAGTTATTAAACATAAATCCACTCAGAAAACCAACGGAATACCCATGAATTTTAGTATTCACAATAATTCTACCAGTACCGCAGTACTAACAAAGAAGAGGGTTTTAGACTACAAAATGCTGCAAATTATAACAGAATGGTTGCAAATTAAGAGAAAAAAAATAAACAAGCCAAATGTTTATTTTATTGTTTATATTTCTGCTAAAAATAAGCCAAAAGAATGAGAAAATAAAGAATTCAGCATAATATAAATGATCACTATGACAACAAGTGACACCATTAAGTTACTTGACCCATCTTATTAGTTTCAGATTTCTGAATTTTCCTCCAGGAGAGACACAAAAACATAAGTTTTCCCTGACATCTCAAATACAACAAATGTATAGCTAAATGTTTAGGGTGTAAGAATGTAACTTATTTTCCTCCAGTAGCTGTATCATATTATTTAACCTCATTTTTAATGTCTATAATGTTTTACTCCCATCAACCGTAAGATTGATAATGTGAAACAGAGAAATCTTTTATAGATCTTGAGAAGAAAAAGAAATATAAATCATTGTCAAACCTTGTATATAATTGTTGTTATTGTAAGTTGTAGCCTTGGGTGATACAAATGAACTACAATTTTGAGTAATTAGCAAAATTAAAACAATTTTTTACAAAGAACTACTTAAAATTCAGAAAGTTCTAAAACACAAAATAAATTAAAAACATACTCAAAACAAAAATGTTCAAGAATAAAAATTTGAAATTCTTCATTTTCATTACCTATATGTTCTGTTTAATAATTAACTTTTTCTTTTCTTTTTAAATTTCAAGGGAATATTATAATGAAATGCCATATCTTAATCTATAAAGCTTTTATAGTTTAAATTACTTGACATTTTGACATCAATGCCAATTGAAATATAAGAATGTAAAAATTAACATGTAACCTACAATATGCCATAATGTAAAATCTATACACAGAATAATTATAAAAATAATATGCAAAAATAACTTTAAAGTTTTATTATCTTTTCTGAACACCTGGCTTAGTGCTATGTTAGAGGAAACAAATTACCGTAAGTCTCATAAAATTTACTGTGACAATATTAATTAGCCCTGTCCTCTTAATGACAATATGCTGGTTTTATTAGGGTTTTCTTTTTTCATGTCTGGCATACATATGAATAACTGATTCCTGCTAACTTTTTTATAAACATTGTTGAATCAGTTGTTTTGTCTTCAAAATGTGAAGAAAAAAAATGCACTTTCACACTGAACACAATAATGTTTAGAAATGATTCCTATTATCAAAGGACTGATGATGAATTTCAAATTTGGCATAGTTAAAAAAGTGACATAAAATAAAAAATCATTAACAACTTCCTTAATTTCATTTCATAACAATACAACATTTTATAGTAATACCGGGTATGTCTCTAAGAGAAGTTATAATTTTTATTTTTCTTTAGTTATGACCTATATTTAAAACAATTACTATATTATAACTACGTACATGTTTACATCATTTTACTTTAACATCATCCTAAACATCTGACAAATGAGTAAGATCAAAAAAAAAAATTAAGTTAGTAAAAGTAGAATCCTATTTCAATGAAAGAAATTACCTATCATCCTGATAAAAATAAAAACAGAAACACTTCAGTTTTTATGACAAAGTTTTGAAAATATGGGAAGACTTCATAAAGAGATAGATATATTATTTCAAACAGATGAGTAAGTTTGGTGATCTGGTGATAGTATGAGGTGATAAAACACACATACATATCATAGTTACTTCACTTTTACACATCATTAATGTTTGCTCATTCAAACACTCAGTTTCTGTTGACACACTACTTTTTTTGTTCTTTAAGAATAAATCTATGACAATTTTTTTTTGTACCATTTTTTCATACCATTGAGGCATCTCATTTGATGTTTTTGTTACTTAAAGTTACCAAACTTCTAAACTCAAGGAAAAATTATAATCTTAATTTAATTTTCACAATAAACATGTTAATTAAGTAATGAAAAGAGCAATTGCGATTAAAACGCTATGAAGACTGACAAGAAACAAAAAGAAAGCAAATTAAAATTGAATTATGAAATATGTCTCTGATTAATTTAGCTTAATATATTCAATTTTTACATCCTATCAGTGCATAATATACAAAAGTTATTTTACTGCAATATTGAATTTAGCACACAGAAAAAAAAAAATTATTTAATCATGTTCTATACAGTTTCCTTAATACTGAAAAATCAACCACTTTGTAATTCTAGTTAACTTTTAACCTGAAACTAAGCTGTTCTTTTTCATACATTATAAAAACTGACTTACTTTACAACATTTTCTCATTAGATCATAATTGAATTACTCCTATTTCAATATTCTTTTTAAACAAATACACTAACCTTGTACATAAACAGATTTTCTGTTTAACAATAACAAATTTCTTCTCCCTCTATCCATTCTTCCATTTGAGAGCGAAAAAAATAAATCCCACAAGCTCTGTCTCCAACAAAAAAGTAGTCCCTATAGGCCTATATCAAAAACAACTTTCACTTATCCCGAAACCTCATCTTACATTGACAGTCAGAGTCTAGTGTTACAATCATCCATGTAACTAAATGTCTCTCTCACAAACTTAAGGTTTAGGCACATGATGTCATAATTGATTATGTATTGATAATTTCGTATCCAGATTTATTATATACATGTATTAACTTCAAAGAAATTTCATCAGCTGAAGGTTTCTTGGAAAACTTGCGAAAACTTTCTTCATGTAAATTTTTTATAAAGTAAAATGTGATAATACATAGACAACAGGAGAACATGTTCAGTATAGTGGTACAAGAATTTTCTGTCGTGAAAAAACAAAACAAACAAAAAACAAACAGATTCTTTATCTTACTTTCATGACTATGTTAAAGAATGGCATACTTCAGTTTCCAGAGACACTGAATTCAATGTCACTCAATATTCATTGAAAAAGGACTTAAAGCCTCACGTAAAAATGTTAAAAACTTCAGGTCAATCTTGTTTTCATTTTTTCCCCATGATTGAGGAAACGCCTCAACTGCATACCAGGTTTACAGGCAAATCAAGTTATTAGAGTAAATTTGCTTAAGCAATTTAAATGGCCGGTTACCGTACATATTTAGTTTGTATTTCACACACTGTTACAAAAGTTGGGAAAAGTTGTATAAAGAAACTGAAACTTGCATATTTTAGTTATTAACCTAACATTACCAGTTAGCCACAGTTTATTTGACTTCACATGGAAACTGAAAATTTTATGTACCAAAGTTTTAACTATTTTTATCCTATTGAATTTGTATTATTTCGAATTTGGAACATTTCAAATATCGCAAAATTGAAATGGTAAAATAAAGTGACAGCACAGGTGGCATAGCTCTAGCATTGTCACTACAACCATTCAAAGGTTATTGCACCAGATTTTATAGTTTTTACAGCAGATTTGTATCTATACAGGTATTCAGTTCCCTTAATAAAAGCTGCATTTTTATTTCAAAATGTCATAGGCAGGAACAGCATCCAGCTGACATTTTCAATTTCCCCTCGAAATGTCTCTCCAGTAGTTATAAAATTCCAGGGAAGTGATGTAAGCGCCTGCAATTTGCTTTACAATGTAGGAGGAAAATTAGACACAGATATTACCATACCGAGTGGCAGACATGTCATTTTAGAAGCAATTTTATGTCAAATATTAAAATATTTTTCACATATATTTTCACTGATATTAAAAGTAAAAATAAATTGCAAGGACATAACAATGATAATATTAAATGGTGTGCTTATTTATTTATACAGATTTGTATCATAAGCTTTATTGTCTAATAATTTATATGAAGAAACAACAACTTTTTTCTTCAAAATTTCTTGCTTGAGATCAGACAAGAGACTTTTTATGAGTACCTATAGTTCATGATTTCCATCCCATCAGAATGATGTTTTTTAAAGAATGTTGTCCATTAATTATTGTATAATAAACCATGCATTGCTCTTTCATTCCAGACAACTGCCAATCAAAATTATAATGCTACTGTTGTATATAATTATGACCACTAGAGAAATGAGATTTCAGAAATAACTCAATTCTTTCTAAACATGGCTATACATCTTTGAAACAAATACATTTTACCCTAGCAACTTTTAATATCTATCTATCTGAGATTAGGAAGTTGAGTCTTCCAAGCTCTCCATGTGTGTTTATTTTTCATTGTTGGTTTTTTCTTACCTGTACTGTTAGACCTTCTAAGAACATCATCTTCTGAATCAGACGCTACAGATACTGGTCTTGGTTCTGAAAATATAAAATGATTTTTCAATTAAAGACCACTTAATTGGTAGTTAGGAAATATGGTAAGATGGTCAAAAACCAAAACAATCAAAATAAAAAATAATTAAAATTTAACCTAATATGCAATGCAGGAAGGGCCACCTGAGGTCTTCCACCACTCGTAAAGCTGGAAAGTCACTTCATGACTTTTACAGTGTTGGTGTGACCAACCCAAACAAAGCTACACAAGTATACACAGATTGATAGTTACAGTACAGAGTCAAGATGGGAGGTATGACAATAGAAACATCTGAGATGACAATTTGTTAAGATTTTTGTAATTCTAGTCATGCATAATGCAGCATCTACTCCTCAAATAACATATCTCAACATCAAACTACTCTTCCATAGTGACATTGGTATAAAATTAGCCACAAGGTTTTATGCCTTTTAAATAATGTTAAATTATCATGCAATCATCACAGAGTGGTAAAGGGTGGATGAGAAATAATCTTGTTTGACTACAACATTATTAAAGTCAATGACTTTATCCTAAGTCAGAAGTGGGGGGAAATTTACCCTCGTCTTACATGATATTCAACATGAAAGAATGGACAAATTACAACACTCATTTTAATTAGATATATTTAACCTTGGCTTGGTGTACACAAGAACCTACTTCTGTTTAAAACATGGAAATCTAGGCACTAATCACTATAATATAGATCTGCCAAAATAAAGTCTGAAAACTTGGGCGGCTTTCATTTAGGTCTGTCAAACAAACTCAACAAATAGTACCAACTGTCAATGCAAACACTTGTGAGATTCTATCAAGGAATTGTGTCCGCCTACAATTCCGGAATATGAATATGTAGGTCGTCTCATTAGGCCATCTCAGATTAACGTTTCTTAGTCATCTACAAATCAAAACACTTGAATGCATTTACAAGTAGCTGAGACTTCATTTGATTTCATAAGTTGAAGTTCATGATGTAGAATATCTTAAGATAGAATATTTGATTTATCAATGAAAACTTTGTTTGATATAATTATCATGACTTTTTATAGCATATGTTCTAAAACTATGCTAACAAAAGTCCCTTGTATAACTATATCTCAGTAAGATCATGTAGATCTACACTGTCAAAATAAGCCTTCAAATTACATTCAAAATGTCAACAGATGACCTAGTTATCCGACTTGAGACAAGATCTCATCAAACTGGAAACTTAAGTGAGATATTTCTACTGACAGCCATTATCAAAAGTTTGGTAACTTAAAGATCTATGCAAACTTAACTTTAAAAGAGATACATAATCAACTGATTTATTAAATAAATCCGTAGTTTGACACTGACATACTTTCCTTCCCATCCCATTTAATGATCTGTCAACTTGACAATCTTATCAAGCATACGATCAACAACAACAACAACTCTTACCTGACAGTAATCAGCATTAAAATCAATATTTCCAAGAGATTTAAACAATAAAATTACACTTTAATCAACTCCTGCCCACAATGACACAGTATATATTCAGTATATCATGTCCAAAGCATTAAAAAACAATGCACTGTCGGATTTGTTAATCGTGTGACAGTTGTTCCGCTACATGAACATACAACTTGCCTGTGGACAGGGTCATGCCTGAGCAACTTGTACTGGATTTTTTTACAATTTCATCTCATATGACAACCCTATTTATAATATGTATAATGAAATGACAGACAGATAGCAAACTTTTTTTAACATACCAATCAAAACAACTTAATATCCATTTCATTGAAGTTTGTATTTTAAATTTCACAACATAGATAATACAGTATACAGCACAATTATACAGTTTGATTAGCAAATTGAATTCCTATGCATTTTGAACATCTCAAAGTTTTAAACTATACAATGAAATCTGTATCTTTACGTACCTGACTTTTAAAGTTATTCCTTCAGTGACAAATTTCCCTTTACTTGTCAATATTTAGACAGCGTTCGTCAAAAGTTCCCATATTTAATCAAAATTCAATATCACACTACAATGGTTAGTAGCAATGAATAATTTAGTTCTACCATACACAAATCCCAAATGAAAACAATGACTGAACTTATCAGCAAACTATCTTGTGACACCGAAAGTTAAACAAAAATTATATAAGCAGAAATTTATCGCTACTTTTGACCAATCCATTGACCGCCAGTTCTATGATTTCACTTTGAACAATTTACTTAAAATAAATTGTTGTAATGAATAATTTAAAACAACAGGAATGTTCCAAATGTATATGTTTGAAGAAAACATTTTGACATTAAAAAGGTCAATTAAGTATTAAATGAACAATACAAACTATAAAGTTATCAATTAACAAGGATAATAGAGATTTGTTTACTCTTTCCTTCCTAGAAAAAAAAACTTGCTAAGCATCTACGTAAGTGGACCTGTTAAAAAAAGTTACCATTTCAAAATTCAAGCACACAACAGAATTATTCAATTTTTAAGAGAGGAAAAAGAGATATTTTTGGTCTATTTTAATTCCTCCAATGTCTGACAATTTCCCAGAATTTTTTATTCATTTTCTGTTATAATCTTTTATTCTATGTGACAGCCACTGAGACAGTAAGTCTTCATTGTGGCACTTTTGAATTGTCACAAACAACATAACAACGTCAACAATTATGGCAGCAAATTGATTTATCATCAAATTGTTTACCTTATTAATAAAAATAAATTATATCCAGACTTTTTATAATGTCTGTTTATCCACTGATATTTAAATATCCCAAAGAGACTTGACTTAAAATTATCATATAACTTCTGGTCTTCTTAATAAAAAATATGTTTCTATCAGTATTTACTTGAAACTTACCATATGCATTACATTACTTCTTAAAACAAAAATCCACACAAAAATATAAATTGATTCCTTTAGAAAATTATCGAGAACTTAAAGAGTTTATTCCAAAATTAGATACCAATGTACATTCACATATATCAAGTCAGTTATAAGCTATTTTGCCTCGGGACTAAATATGTCATAACATATATTGCTCATATATATGATGTATCTATATTAACGATGTAATTAGTTGTTTATAAATATTTCACATTTCAAAAAGTTTACAGAAAATGTTCAGTTTCATAAATTTACCAATAACCTGTTAAATGATATTTGTATAACAATGTTATGGTCTTGCAGAGGTTGTAATTTTGAACTGTCCAAAGAGAGTTAAGACAGTAAGTCTTATCCGACTCTTTAACCTGATGCTATAAAAATATTAAAAAAATGGATTAACACTAGTCACTTGTATATCTTATAATCTGGACAAGATCGACCATTCATCATTTCCTGGGAAAATTTCAAAATATATATTCTGAATAGCAAACAGTGCAGACCATGATTAGACTGCATGACTATATGAGCTGGCTCAGTTCTTGGTCAGCACTGGTCATATGTATAGAATGTGTTGCTGCCAGCAGGCTAGCAGGATGATAACATTCAGCATCCAACATTATAATGCCTACAGTAAGACTGCATGGATGTGCAGACTGTCCTCAGGCTCCAGTCCAGGTGACATAATTCTGTAATAATCTATACTTAAGTTTTATTTAACATGATTACAATTTTTGATAAACCTTTCAAATATTTGATTACATAATAATTAGAATTTTTTAAATTGAAGCCAAAGGGCAAAAGTTTAAATCTGCAGTAATGATCAGCCTGTGAAAAAAACTAGATCAAACATGTACATGTAGTTATGTACCATTTTACAATAACCAAAGTAATTTAAATCATAACATATAAGTCACTAAACAAACTAACCCCTAGGCTTTAATGACTATTAGATGAACTGGTGGTGACACCAACAACAAGCAAAACACTTTTTGTTTACATTGTGACAGAGCATCTGTTTTGGGTTGGGTGTTTGGTTGATCGATGTAAGACATAAGTATCTGCCTGGCACCCAGAGAACTCTCAGATTACACTGTGCATTTAGGTCAGTTTACAGTTAGTCTGGCCTACTTTTGGCTACTGTTTCAAATCATTTTTATTAAACAGTTAACTAATTGTAACAAATTGAGATATTGTGCTATTTTATGCATGGGCAATACCCAAACAAAAAATATTTCAGAATCTAGCTTTGCCAGTGGTAGAGACAAACTTTTTCGACAGGTGTCCCTTGGGCATATTATTGCAAAATCAGGGACACCTCACTATTTGAAATGCTGATTTCCAGGAGTTCCTTATGAAATTTTGGTGTCCTCGGGACACTGGGATACTGTTAGTGTCGACCCCTGTTTGCACATGAAAGTATTTTAACAAAAGTTTCTGAAGTTCTAAATTTTGACATATGGATAACACTTGATAAATGACAGGAACTTTCAAAGACAACTATTCAGCAAATCTGCAATACAGTAATATAACTAAAAGCCTTAATAAAAACCTTAAAAATACAAAAAGATTAATAATAAATACTACTCTCTGTCACTACTTATGAGGAAATATCACATTTTGCCACAAATGTCAAGCAACTTTTACCACACAATCAGCATTATTAAAGCATAAATTGTTGTCAACAGTTAATAACTGACAAAATGGTATGTAATAAGAGTGTTAAAGTTGTAATCATGGACAAGTACAACAGCAACAGAAATAATCCATTTCTTACAGTGTAATGTTACAACTATGATTTACAGAATGTTCTACAACACAGAATACAAATTACATGAAATGAGTTGACGACCATTTTAAGCAGAAAAAGTTACAACAAACCTTCGGTAGAGTTATTACTCCCTCCATTATTAGAAGGAAACAGCCATCGAAGCAGCATCCTCACAAAACGACCTAGATTAACTAAAAAAAAAAACGAGCTCTATCGTTCTACCATCAAAAACTTCACAAACACAGGCTTATTTTACAGAAGCACTTCAGTGACCCAGATCTACCTACCACTTCTGCAAGCATCTGTGAAACTTGATTACCACCAGCAAACAGCAATTTGCTCATTTTCTCCAAGTTCTTAAGAATTA